CAAACTCTGGATTGCTTTTTTACAGAGACCAAAAATGAAGGTTAAATACCTATCTTTGGGAGGGACCTACTAGTTGTGCCTCACTGAGGTGATGGCCTCTTAGCTGTCTTAGGCGTTCTTATCTCTGGTAAAGAGAGTGTTCTGAATTCCCTTCTAGTACTCCAGATTTTTTCCTGTGATCAGCTAGATGCTTCTGTTTTCCATGTAGGTCTCTATATTTTACTCCCATGAGAAGTATTTTTATTTTAAGTGTGGCTGCTGTGCAACCACATATATGCAGAATACATCAGGGAAGCAGTTTGGGTTTTTTGCTCTAAAGAAATTTGCTGGCAGGAAATGATTTGCAGGACTGTGGATTGGCAGTATTGTAAATATTTCTCCAGTGCTAGCTCAAAAGAGGATTTTGTTCAGGTTATGTGATTAGAACCCATACTCAAATGTATGCATGTATGCAATATAATTTGCTTTAAGCTTGAGCTTAAAAAGTATTTTTGACTTTGCCTGGAGGCCTGTACAAAAGTTAAGCTAATCGAGTGGATAAACATGCCAGATAATGCCTCATATAATTTAGTATGTTTAGTTGGTAGTACAACACCAATATATATGATTTTATAATTTTCTGTCTTTATAGCAAAAAATACTTGTTTATTTGTGTTGCCTAGAGTGAAAGTAAGTTCTTGTTCTGGCAAACTGAGCTCACTGAGTTTCACAATGGAATTTTGAAAATGGGAATGTATTTAAAATGTGCATGTACTTGGTTTGGTTTCTTGGAAACCCTTACACTCTTAGCTAATATAACCACAGAATCAGAGAATGGGTCAGGCTTAAAGGGACCACAGTGGGTCATCTGGTCCAAGCTCTGTGCTTGGCTTTCAAGTATCTCCAGTGAGGGAGACTCCACAGCCTCACTGGGCTGTTCCAGTGCTTGGTCACCCACATGTCCTAGATACATCACATATGATGTTCTAGGTGTATCTGATTCCTCAAGTAGAGGACCTGTGCTTGAACTGTCTCTGTTCACAGCAATATAACTCCTCATAACTAAAACAACATAATGAGGATCTCTACCTGTTATTACCTTGTGTTCCAGCTGATGAACATTTCCATTAATTTAAATAGCAAATGTCATCTTCCCTTTCAACAACATGCTTCTGTATATGTTTAGGACTTTTTATCTTACATACCTTAAATGAGGAATTAGTTTTAGGAAGGGAATTACTTTAAAGATGGTACAGAATCGTGTGATTTTGCAGGGTGTGCAGTTCCTTTTGAGCGCTGCAGTTCTGTGGCTGTTTACTTGTTCAGGCTTTCATGTGAAATTTTGCAACAGTTCTTATTAAATACTGATTATTCACAGGAGTCACTGGTGGTGAATATTTTTATTTCTTAATTAGTTGCTCATATTTTCGTATATGAGTTACTATTTTCATCTTATTAGCATTTTGATATCTCCAGGGATGTTATAAAAATAAGGTTAATTTATTTTTAAACCTTCAGTTCTGTTCGTAAATATTTTAAAGGTATGAACAGTCTCATTTGTTGTTAAATGAAAGGTTTTTATCGCTAACTTATGTGGTCAGTTTGAAAGTCCTTTTTTAATGCATTAGGGTAGTTACTGTGCAACACAGTGCATTATCACCAATCTAGTTACTAAGAATTTATCAAAACCAAGGAAATCATACCTGTAAAGTTGGATACTTCTAATAACTGTAGACTTAAGATGACTGGGACAATTTATGCATGTTTTATTACAATATTCGTTCACCACTTTAATGCTTCAAGAAGTCAAATTGAAAGGATTTATCTTTTTGATGTCAGTAAATGAAATGGATTTTTTTGCTTCTTTTCCCTTGATTGTTGTTTTAGATGCTTCAGCTTTCTATTTCATGGCTCTTCCTTCCTTCAGTGCATCTTCAGTATAAGTTACTCAGAGCAGGATTATCTATGTTTCTATTTAACTGCAAAGATTAGAAACTTTCTTTGTTTTTAAAGGGTAATTGATCATCTTACTTCATCTGCAGGTAACTGGCATTGGGGCTTTAAGAAGAAGCTACAAATACTGTAAAATTCAGAGCTGAACAGCTGGGATTTTAAAATAAAATTTTTAGCAAAATTGTCTTTTCCATGCATAGCAGAGTGGTGCTTATCCTGCTAACCAGGACAGTCACATATTCAGTTTGGAGCAAAAGAACTGTTGTAAAATGGCTATCCATTGCACAGTTTCGGGATTTTACAAATTTTACATGAATTTACATTTTGCCTACATGTCTGTAGCACTTGCTTCCTACATACCATTTTATGTTTTTGGCATAAGCACAAGACTTCAGAAAGTCTAATATTACTGTCTTTGTTAGTATGGTAAAGTGCTGAATATGTATGTTGGTATTTCCATTTGAAACCTTACAAAAGCCATTTTCTATATTTGATCCTAAACAATGGATTTACTCGTATGCCTGAAAAGTATTTCCTGATGCTTAAACTAAAAAGTTTTATTTTAGGTACAATAGCAGAAGTTTGTAGAATTGGGAATATTTAAAATTGGTATCCTTAGAGATTTAGTATGTAGAGAGGTTAGTGTAGATAGAGCTTCTTGGCCCCATCCATCCATCCATCCATCCATCCATCCATCCATCCTTCCCTGAGAACACATGCTGTTTGAAAGAGGAATTTGAAATCTGGTTGACCATAAATACTAATTATATTCTTGGTGTGGGTTCTTGCTTTCAGACTCGAGATAACTGTTGCCTTGTGCTCAGTGGCCCAGCTCACAGCAGTTATTGTAGAGGGTAATGAATGATGTTTATTTATGCTGTGTGCCTGACCACATCTGGGGGTGAGAACATGCTGGCAGCTAATTGGCCTGGCAAATGATCAGGCTGCTACAAAGCAGGAGCTTGTGCTAGGCAGGAAGATAAAATCTCAAGGAGCTGTCATCCCTTACTCTTATTGATGGTTCCTGGTGGAAATGACAGACATTAGGTGTGGATGTGATGCTGAGATCTACTTTTATTGTATGGATTTCTTTCAGAGAATGCCTCGGATGAATCTGCTGTTTTTAACACCTTGTGAATTAATCTCATCCTCAGGGACTCGTGTTAATTGCTAGTTTGTTCATCTGTGTTTGCTCTCCTTTTTGTCCTGAGACATTTGAATGCTTCACTTTAGAGCTGATAACGTTAGTGAATGTTGAGGACAGACAATCCAGTCAATGTTGTGTGACTTGGCACCAGGCAAGTTCCTGAAAGTGGTACTGATGCTGCTTTAAAGATCTCAGAACTTTGGGTTTCTTTGAGCTTGAAGGAACTAGAATAATCAATAATGAGAGAATTGCAGTAATTCTTTAATGAGGGGACAGCAAAGGACACGGTTTGAATTCTTATGTGTTATTAACGTGTACTTAGCTACCTTCCTCAGAGCCTGAGCCCTGCAGGTAATCCCTGTCTCCAGCTGAATGCTTTGTGCTTGTGCTGGAACCAGGCAGTTGTCTTCACTCCAAGCTTAATAGCACTTGTGGGAAGAGTTGAAAAGGCTTGTATTCTTTACAAACCCAGGATACATTTAAGTAGGTCAAAGCAAAAGGAACAGGAGGAGAAATGGCACAGTTTGGATTGGTAACAAACGGATTACTCCGAAAGCTTGTGAGGCTGTGACTGACAGCCTGCCAAGGCGTCCTTCCCATGGCTGCTGAGAGTTGATGTTAGCAAGAAGGAGGAATAAAATGCTAAATCATTCTGCTGGCAGGGAGGTTTGAAAACAGAAAACTTGAATATTATTTGCATGGCTGTTAGTGGGTAAAATGACCAGATGAACAGGTCCAAGTTATGCAGCAGATTGTGGTATTAAGCAGCTTTGTGATGGAGAATGACTTTTGAGTGCTTTTGGGCCCTTCTGGTTTTGGAAACCAGTTTGTGCCACCTGACACTGCAAAGTACACCTGCTTAGCATTGAGGTTATGCTATTGATTTCAAAGCTAGGTATAAGTATGTTCCTGGCTCCTCCTCTTGTGTCACTGTACCTAGCATCTGTGAGTAGAGAAGACATTCTATTTTTAAAAAAGCAATCCCATCACGTGTTTTTCATCTTTCTGTGTATCTGCATGAGTTCTCTGAAATGTATATATTTTAAAATTTTTCTTTAAACAATTTTATTACTAATATTTATTAATTTTTGGAAGAGCATGTGAATGTTGTTCATTTTACTTTTTCAAGATGTGTAAACATAGGCAAAACAAAGGACAGTAGTACTAATACTTTTACTGGATAAGAAAATGTAAATTAAATAAATGTGAAGATAAATGAAATAAGCCTTTAGGTTTATTTTTGCATACTCATAGTGCTTTGTGATACTGCTTGGAAGACCAGATGCCTTGCAAGCTTTTTGTAAACAATGTGGAGAAAAAGGGATGCCTTGTTCTGTTATTACAGAAACAGTGAAAAAAAAAAAAAAATCATGCTTATGCAGTCAGGAATGTGATGGTGTAAAGAGAGAAGGGAAAATATGGTAGCTTAAAAGCTTGATACCAGATTACAGTTGTTTTTAGCACTTGATGGTTAAATGTCTTTTACTGCTCTGCCTCTGGACTCCCATAACTGGTAATTTAGCTGCTAATTCAATTGTGTGATGATTAATTGCCATGAACAATTCCTTGAAGAGCATTACAAATTTCATTTTCATTTATCTGCTAACTGTAGCAGTTTTTACTTCCTCTATTATTTGTTTGTTGGTCACCCAGTGATGTGTGTGATGAATATATACCAAAAAGGTGTATATGTAAATTATAGTCAACAGATATATTTGCTAGAAAACCTTCTAGAGCTCACTTTTACATGCAGAAGACTCTGCTAGTCCTATGATTTGCTGCTGAATTTTCACCATTGTTTTCCCCTTGTAATAAGTAAAAACTGATGAACAGATTAAGATGATTTTTCTCTCTGACAGTGCTGTTCTATTAATAACTGTAAATCTTGTTTTTTCCCCCTCCTCCCTCGCATCCATAACAGCTAGCCGATGGCGGAACCTCTTCTCTACACCTGTCTCCTTGGCTTTTCCCTATAGTCCTGTTGCAAGACTCACCCCATATACCAATGGCTGTAATAGTCCCAGCTTCTCTAAAACTTCCAGTAAAGCAATACTAACACCTGAACGGACAGGTAATGCTTATCTTTTTATTGATTTACGGTGCTTACAAAACTGCTTGGTTTAATCTAATCCTGCTAGCATTTAACAGCAGTGATCTCTGGATTTGATTTGTATATGAACTCACATCTCGGAGGGAAATTGTTGGTTTGGTTTTGTTTTTTTTTTTGTTTTACTGCCCTAAAATTTGGCTGTTAACTACTAGTGTTATGCAGCATGTTACAGGAAAATGATGCTAGTAAATACCACTAATGATTTACCCAGTAGTACAGTTGTGACTGTGTCGGCTTCAACACTCCCCAGTTTTGTTGCTCATTTCTGCCCCATGGTGCCCATTCTTTGTGTCCATAGAAACATAGGTACAGCTGTGTAATGAAATTGCAGCAAGAATTTGTAATCAGAAGAGCTGGCAGAATCGTTCTTGTTTTCAACCTGGTATTGGTGCTAATGTTCAAGATTTATTTCATGTTTTCCACTGTTTTTTTTCAGGGAACACACAAGTTCTAGGAAAATTGAAGACCTTCTGTGGTCTGTAAATTGCAAGGATGTGCATTTTCCTTCTTCACTACAGATATGAGGAGTCAGTTTGTATGTGTGACTTCTCTTAAACTGCAGTGGCAGTGGAGAAAATAGTGTTCTGAGGGAGAGGCATTGACATTTTATTGCTAGCAGGATCAGGCATAGGCTGAGAATGGGCTGATGATCAATGTCACATCGATCTGTGTGCAGTGTTCCTTACAACGCATGAAATCACTGCGGAAAGCCCCGTTTTAAGGGATAAGGGCACTGTGGGTGAGAAACAGCTCCAGACAGAGCGCCTGCTGTAGCTGTCTGCATGTGAGTGAAATGTCTTCCCTATTCGATGGGATGAAGCCTAGTTCCTAAATGAACTCATGCTGTTTGAGATACCCTCAGGTACCTTGTCTGGCTTCCCTCTGCTGCTCCAAAAGAGCACAGCTGTTACTACCTCTGCAGAGCTTCAGGGACTGCTGTAACTTGCACATTTAAGAAAGCAAGCACATTTACTCCATACAATCCTTCCAAAGCAGTCAATCCCCTGCCTGTCCTTTTCTTTTGGAGATATTATTAGAAAACAGCTGAATTTAGGATGAATTTTAGGTGGCTGCTTTCAGCAGTGCTAGAAGATGCAAACACACACCTGTGACATAAGCACAGCTGGTGAGCTATAGTCGCAGTGGTTCTTGCCCTGTAGGCTGTGAGTCTGTGGTGGTCCAGAGGATATTAGAAAACTATTTACTGTTTTAGTTGATGGGATTTTTCTTTAAAGTTGGACAACAACTAGCTTATGCAACTAATTGGCAATTTCGTTTATATTTTAGTAACACATACAGGGGAAAAGTAGAATCCAAAGCCTTTTGAAAAGGTGGCTCTGTGGATGAAGCAATGCTTATTCTGTTGCATAATGTTCAACCTTAATTGTTTCTGTGATTGAGTTATATGATATTTTAAAAAAACAATAGTAAAATTTAGCTAAATTGCTCTGATGCAGCATTTGAGTACTGAGCAGAAGTCTGTGACATACCCACTAGTTTTTCAAAAACAAGAGTAGGGAAGACCACAGTCCCGTAAGAGAGATGCAAATACAGATGCTGATTAGACTACTCTAATCTGAGCTGTACCACAACAGTATTGGGTAAATTATTCATTGTCTGGGCTATGCAATGCTATTTTGGGAACAAGCTGAGGAATTCATGATCCATTCCTACACTTACTACTCATGAATATCAAAGCTGTTTGCTTATTGTTAGTCAATTGAACTACACTTCTGAAAATTTTTATGTGCTATTCAGAAAATGTTTTAAGCTACTGTAATGTAAAGAGCAGATGATTCTGGATGAAGGTGGCCATATTTTAGCCTAAAAGTGTATGTTTTCTTACATAGGGTACATTTCTAGGAGTTCCCCTTTGAGTCCACAGTCATCAATAGACAGTGAACTGAGCACTTCGGAGCTGGAAGATGATTCCATCTCCATGGGCTACAAGCTGCAGGACCTCACTGATGTTCAGATCATGGCTCGTCTACAGGAGGAGAGTAGGTGGCACGTTTTTGGTTTTCCTACCAGTCTGAGGAAGATTTCCCATAACAGTTAAAACTTCCCCAGTCTGGTTTCAGTCAAGTAGATGCTTTTTAAACGGTGTTGCCTCTTGAGTGGCAGGTGGAAATACTCTTCACCTGCCTGGAGAAGATGTGCACGTTGTTGGGTTCAGGTTAAGCTGAACTGGTACTGGATCTTTGAAAAGTTGATGTTTATATTTTTCTGAATATTAATTGAAATAATTTTATTTCTGGAAAGGGAAGGTGCTAAAGCATTTTTCTCATGCATACATTTCATGAGAAAGATAAAAATAAGCAGCTCTCTTGGCTTTCTTAGCCTCAATTTCTTCAATTTTCTTAAATTTTCAGATGAGGATTGAAATGAAATCCCCTTTAAATACTGAATTGGGCCTTTAAATTTAATATCTTGGTTTAAAACTAGTAATTATGCACAAATCTGAGCCTAGAGTCTTCTTTGACATAGATTATAGTTTGGCTTAATAGTGAGTTTTGTAAAATGTCTTTGTTAATAAATAGAGGGCATTTGACTTAGAGGTCACTGAGACAGTAAGTGGAGTATTTCTCCCACATCCTGTTAGTGCCAAATGAGATATCAAGGAGGAAGTAATGAGATAAAAAGCAAGAGAAATTCACAGACAAGGCCTGAAATAAAATGTCAAGTAATAAATGATTATGTAAAACAAAAATAATAAAATGGGAATAAAAAATTAGAGCTATGATCTGGCTGAAGCTGCCAGACTGAGCAGGCAGAGTGATTATCACATGTCAGCAGGAGAACTTGCTGAGTATCTGGTGGCATACGTCATGTTCAGCAGAGAAAATAACAAGTGTTCTAATTTTAAAAAGAAAAACAGTCATGTCTGTCAAGGATGCAAAGGATTTCATTACTTAAATAACTGCTGTGCTCATCTTCTTCAGAATGAGGTTTAGAAAATACTTCAGGTATTTAGCTCTTTAAGGAATCAGGGCGTTGGCAGACTGGGAAGAAAAATGGTGTTTTTTCTTCAATTGTATGTCAGGTGCAATTGATTGTATTCCTCCTTGTAGTAGCAGCTGGTGGAGAATGTTTGAGCACGTGACAGTTGTTGACCACTTAATCCCTGGAAAGTGGAGTTCTGTACATGCTTGCAGGCACGCTCTCTTCACTGCCACAAATAGAAGCTCCCCCTCAAGGAGGGGGAGAGGAAGCATATTAAGAAGTTTCCGTTATGAAGCAAAGACTCCGTCAAGAATTAGGGCTTTTTTTAAGTCTGGGAAGGTTGTTATCTGCAGCTACTGTCAGAGTTACTTGGCTCCTGGAAGTGCAGTGTATTTTCTTTGGTTGCTGTGTATCTGGAGAAATGAGGGATGTGCAAGTGATGCGAATGTTAACCTCTCACTCGACCTGGAGCAAACAGGCTCTTACAGAGTAGTGGTTATAGTGAGATGGTTTTCAAAACCTGGCATTCTGAGGAGAGGGGGTGGTATGATTGTCTACCTGTGTAAAAGACATTTGTGTTACCACTAAGCCTTGTCCACAAGACTGGATGCTGTCAGGAACTAATTGATGTTCAGGGAGGTTGGAGAGCCAGAAGATTTAAATGGGTTTTAAATTTAAGAAATGTCATTGTAAACATTTTTGTTGCATAAATACAGAAGTTCTATAGCAACAGCTTGGAAAACTATGAGTGTAATTCCTCTAATTAAGACTATTGAGAAGTTAAAAACTTATAACTCATGTAGTCTTTATTGGCAGAGAAATAGGTGCCTCCTGAGAATGGTTCCTCTTAAGAGAAGCATCTAAGACATATTTTGGAGACTCCTGTATTCTTTTTTATTTTTTATTAATAAAGATTTTGAAAGAAAAAATTCAGGTTTAGATGCCTGAAAGGTAGATCAGTTGAATCCTACATCAGATCTTCAGCCTAATTACATTTTAAATTCAATTCTTGCTGTAAAATTCTGTTTACTTACCCGCATAGTTTTCAAGATTGAAGTGCATATTAAGAGTTAATAACTTAGCAGAAGCTGAACCATCCTCCTCTTGGAATTTACAGGCCTTAGGCAAGATTATGCTTCAACTTCAGCATCTGTGTCAAGGCACACTTCCAGTGTTTCTCTACATGCGGGAAAAAAAGGGACATGCAGTGACCAGGAATATGATCGCTATAGTCTTGAGGATGAGGAGGAGTTTGACCACCTGCCGCCTCCACAGCCACGTCTGACTCGCTGCTCCCCCTTCCAAAGAGGGATTCCTCACTCACAGACTTTCTCCAGTATCCGGGACTGCAGGAGGAGCCCTACTTCCCCACAATTCCCTACAAATACTTACCAGCAGCCCTTCTACTCTCCTCAAGCCCAAACTCCAGAGCAGCAACCAAATAGGATTAATGGAGGTGGGTTGCATGCTTTTCTAAGAAGTGGTCTTTTCTCTGCCATGTGCCAGTGCCATTAATATGAATTGTACGTAAATTATGACAAGTAATTTAAACCTGGGTAACTGATTAAGGGGATACTATTGTTAAGCAGTTTTCTACAAAATGTAATCTGTGACCTGGTCATGAAAGCTTTTGCTTTAGTCTTCTTTCAAGTGCTGCAAAGATGACCACAAGTAAAGAAGAAAACAAAAAGTAAAGAAGAGTGTGTTTTAGCAGGCTACTAGTTGATTAGAAGAACTTCTGGGACTTTCAAGCTTGATGTACACACGTCCATTGTGGATGCAGTAAAATACAGATCCGAGTTTTCAGATTTTAATTTTCTTTCTTATTCCTGAGTTTGCTGTTAATGCAGCAAATGCATTAATGCAAATATGATGAGTGCTTATGGCACGTTGCTTCTGGTCCAGGTCTCATAGGGCTGATTGTTAAAGTAGTTGGAGATAATGTCACCCCCAAACTATCCTGAGATATTGCTGCTTTTTTGGACTGCATTTGAGATACATTCCAGAGTCTGGAAGATTTGTCTCTCAGTGCTTACTCACGATTTAAATTTCCTTCCATTGTTGCTGTTAGCTTATTTTCTTATTATAATCACAGTTTTCTTCTTTCTGCTGCATTTTACTTTATTATGCCTTCAGTGTTTCCCCCAAGTTAATTCTAAACAGCCCATTTCCAGCCAGGGTCTTCTTTGTAATATTACATAGAAGGTTACAGGTTACAGCCCACCCTTGGGCAAGAAAATAAATGTACTGTTCAAAACAACGTATAGTTGCTATTGATGGTGCTACAGGTATGCATGTTGCTTTTCTGACAAACAAGACATGACAGGTTGGTGCCCAAACCACTTCTACTCAGAGTGAGGCATGGAAATATAATTGACAAGTGGCAATGTAGAAGGAGAGGTGATGTTAACAGAAAGTAGAGCGTGGGTGTCTGTTGGTACAGCATTTGTGCCATATTAATTTTAATGTTACTTCTCTTGTCAAAGAGGTACAACAGTGGGACAGCAGTGCTGGGCTTGCAGAAATGTTGGGAGTTAGAAAAGAAGGCTGTGGGGCATTTTTGTTCAGGAATAAGAGATTGATGTGTTGCTGCCACGTTTTTATGTGGCTCCCAAGTGTGTTTTGAATGAGTTTTTCATATTCCGTGTCAGTGAAACTTAAGCATTGGATTTCTTGCACAGAAAGGCATGGAAACCTTTAAGGTACTAAAAACATTAGACTCCTAGTTTATTAACTATGAAGTGTATAAATGTAAAAGACCACCAGTTTTATCACCTGGTTGACTTCAGTTACCTGTTTGCAAGAATGACAAACAGTGCAGTAATAGTCAGCACCACTGTCTTTAGAAGGGAATTATCTCCTCTGCTTCTACCCCTTCAGCCTTTAACACATAGAACTCTGATCCATGTAAGTGGCAACTGCTGATGGTGAGAAACATTGTACTTTGACTGTGTTCTTTTGGCAGACAAGGAGATAAGGAGTCAGGTTTTCACTGTACTCAGTAGTATGTCTCTGTAGTACTGCATCTTCTCGTCAGCACTTGCCATCTTGGCCACAATTTATCTCTCAAGAATTCCTACACATTGAAATGGGGGCAGACTGCAAAACAAGAATTTGGCTGAAGCTAGGTTCTTGGAGCCTCTAAGGAAACACTAGTATGTTTTTCAGCCTTCACTAGAACATGTACTACTTCTCAGGCATCTAAGACCTTTTACTCACTAAAAGCACTTAAAACTTACTCCATTTACTTACTTACTTACTTATTCTCTCCATCTATTCACTTACTCATTCAATCCAAATACTTTAATGCAATCCCTACGTTCTCATCTCTCTCTGAAGGATTCTGAGAGACCCCTGGCTTACTGCCTCCAACAAAGATAAAATTACATACTTCTGGACCACATTGCACCGTGTAACCCCCACTCTCAGGTCCAGATTCTTTATCTCTCCTTATCCCATTCATGTCTGATTGAATGGTGCCAGTCACATTTACTGCCAGTCCCCAATAGCTTGCTGTACTGGAAGATTCCTGGTAAACACACTAGCATGAAGTGGTAGGTGTGTGCCAATTTTAATATGTTTAGATGTGAAATATGTTGCAATTGGGGCCACTTGTAGCATGAGCTAAAGGTGTACTTATTGTTACCTTTTAAAACAGCATTTTCATAGCTACTGTCTCTAGAATATGTATGTATGTATCTATGTATGTGTTATATTTGCTTTCTAATAGGTTTTATTGCCAGTTCTGCCAAAAATGTAGTAATAGATAAGCTTTGTGTGAAATCCCTTTGGTTTTGTTTTCCTTGTTTAATTACACCCTCTTCCTAAATCAGCTGAATTTTCTGAAATGATGAGTTACATCAGAAAACTTCCATTTACAAACTTTGTAAGGTATTGGGATTTTCAGGGATTTTGTAATTGGTTGGTGGGTCACAAGTAGATAATTTAAAGAAAATCTGAGAGAGACAGGATGTGAACAGCTTTTAAGTATCTGTTGTAATTAGCTGAAGTGAGTTTGTCTCTGTGTGTGTTTTATACTTTAATAAATATACTTTTAATATGTTTGCAGTGGAAAGATCTATGCTTGTCTCTCTCCCCATAGTCTAATTTGAGGAAGTTACTGATTAGCAATTTAAAACACTGCTAATCATTAATATCAAGAATACTTTATATGTAACCATTTTCATAGAAGAAATACTGCTGAAAGTTGTAAAACCAAGCTGGTTTCTGCTTTATGTTGTCCATAAATTTACGTTCTTTTTGTTAGCTTGATGCAAAAAGTAACTGCTTTTACTTCAACTTGTTAAAAATATTTTTTGTTTCTGTTAAGTGATTTTATTATTTTTTAATGGCTGCTAGTATTTTTGCCCTTTATACTTCTGATTTTCTGAAACCAGAAGTAATGGTTAACTATAGTGCTGTGAAATCATCCAGAATAATAAAAATCCAAGAGAGACAAGATGATACTGAAAATGGGATTAATTTTTCTTGTGTTCAGGCCCACTTCCCATCTCTTGAGGTCAGCTTACCACAGCCTTTTATCCTGACACCACTTACTTCATGTGCATTTTAAAGTGTCCATTTTTAAAATATATGACAATTGGAAACTCCATATTTTGGACAAATTATTCCAGGTAAAGAAGGAGTTTATATAATACAGTAAGAAGGGGTGGATGAAAAACACACAGTTCATGGAGTAGTAATGCATTTAATCTGGTTAATCTTAATGTATATTTTCTATTACCTTTTCACGTTGCTTTCTAAGTTTTTAGTTTGGCATCCACCTTCATAAACAGGCCACAGATACCATTCACTTGAAAAACTTTGCTTTTATTTTCCAGAAATTACTAGTTATGAATAGCTCTTTTGCCTACACTTCAAAAACATGGACATCATTGGCAGTTACCTTATTTTGAAAGTTGCAGTTGTGATTTCTGTTAGTTGTTTGGATTTTTTAACTCCAGGCAGACATAGAAGAGCAGCTGTGCATTGTGTTTGGATATGGGTTCACTTATGAAGTGTTTTCTGCTCATAGCCTCTCTTGCGCAGTCAGAAAGGAAAAATTCTCTCTAGGAAATTGTTGCAAACTTTTTTACAGAAAAGAAGTAAAATAATCTTACTTTGCTACCTTTGGATTATATTGAGGACAGTGATCAGTGGGAGAACTCATGGAAGGCTAATGGAAAAACCTTTAATTGGTCCTATTTGTGGCAGGAGATACATGCATGAGAAGCCAGGATGAGATGAAATAATAATATGGAATAAAATGTAGGTATTGACATGACTGAGAATGGCATCACTCACTTAACTGAAGTTAACTGAACTTGCTTTAATCTATATTTGTGTTTTTACACACTGATGTCTCTGTATCAGCTTGTGATTCCACAGACTATTAAAAAGACCCTGGTGTATTTGAGATGTTACAGATGTTACAACTGTGACAAATACAATGCAGATACTCATCTCAAGTCTTCCGAGATGAGGAACAGAAATTAATCCCATAAAGTGAAGTTGTAATAGAGTCTACAAGTTCGTTAAGGATTTCAGAACACGCTGAATGTCTACATAATATAGAACATAATCTTTAAAATAGAGAATCATGGTTTTTTTCTTGTGGTTTTACTTTGACCTGTTTGTGCATACAATACAGATAAGGCAGAATTGAATTTGCAGAATTTGTGTGAGAAACTGTTAACCTAGCTCAAACAGTGGTAACAGATTTCTCTGAGACACTAATAATTCTGATTCACTGTATCACACTTCTGTGCTTTTGGTGAGGTTTGGGAGTCCTTTTGTTCAAATAAAGCATTGACAACACTTGCAGAAAATAACTGTAAAAGAATAAATGTATTTTATGACACTTCACTGTGGAGTCAACTTAAGCCCTCCTTGCAAGGAGAACCTCACTGGATGATGCATTTTGGCCAATAGAGGATGATACTGACCAAGGACTGCTGCAGAAGTCTCCATCCAACACCCCATCAAGAGTGCACCTCTTCTGGGGCAGCTTTGTTCTGAGGACAAGGTCTGTTTGTGTGCTACATGGAATTAATCTTCGGCCAGTGATAGTATGAGGTCAGGAAAATAAAGGACCAGTGGAATGGGGATGGCCACCAGCGGTGTGGGGATCAGAAGACAGAAAGCACGTGCTGTCTGTTCTGGTGTCCTGCCAGAAAGAAGCTGGGCCACTGATCCTGAGCTGACTTCAGAGAAGAAATAGCATCAGGGGAAGATCTTCCTTGCAGAAAATCAGAACTGAAGTGGCTGGGTGAGAAGTGAACTGTTATCTCCACTTCAATGTTGTGGAATGTTTGACAAAGAAGATAAACCTTTTCCTGTCCTTTGACCTTTTTCTAGCAGTAGTAAATATGATCTGTGCTATGGGGTGGTCTTTTCGTGAACGTTTTCAATTGAGGGCATAGGATCTTGTATTTCACAACTCCCAGCTTTTATCGTACTGTAAAGACAATGGGAAAATTCAGCATGTATGCCATATATGGGGAAAAGTGCAAATATGCAGTAGGCAATTCTACTGCAGATATGTGAAAGGGCAATGTATGCTGCCTAAAGAAAGCTCATGAAATGACAAGCATGTGTGTATATGCGTGAATTATTCTTAGAAGGTGGTAGGATCCAGGAACCAATTATGATGTCCCTTTGCATGACCTATCCTTGAATTTTCTTCACACATACAAATACCTCAACAATACAATGTCTGTAGGTCATGATACTTTATCTCAAAGAAGGCTGGGAAAAGCAGAGACACATCTGTGATGCTTTATATGGCTGCATTCTACTTAAACACCATATTTTTTTCAGCCTTAATTATAGTTGAGACTCAGTAGTAGGTCACAGTAATAACTATGAATGCTGTTGGAGATCATCAGCTCCAGTTGTTGTCTGATGACCACCTTGCAACTAGACCATGGCACTAAGTGCCACATGAGTAATTTCTTGAACAGCTGTAGGTCCTTCGAAGTCCCTTCCTGGTGTTACCATCCACTTTTTCCTAAAAAAACAAACTGCAAGCAACTGATGATATTTTTAGGTTTGCCACTGAACCAGATTAGTACAGAAGAGGTAGCAGAAATTCCAGTAGCAAATTCTGGTGTTCATCACAAACAGGACTATTTGAGCAAATTAATTTTCAACTGAGAATACATTTCTACTCCTTCTCCTCTCTGTTAATTTTCTCATCAGTCTTAGAATCGCAAGCAGGTCTGGAAAGAAAAGCAGCTTGGAAAAATATTTTTGTTTCCTTCTCATATATTTCCAGCAAGTTCATATCTAGTCATGTCTCAGTGGCCTGAAATAGTATTAAAATCATGTAATTCCCACCTTCTTCTTCCATATATTAAGCTCACAAGAGCCACCGTTTAATTTACGAACAAAACGTCTGTAAGGCTGTTTCCACTGTTCTTAGGAGGGAAGCAGATGACAGAACAAACTTCAAGAAGGAGATGAAAGAAGATGCATCATCCAAGGAGATAAAAGCTGCAAAATGCCATCAAGGCGAACATTTCTAGGTTTTCCCCAAACATAAAACTGACCCACTATTTTCATTGCTTTTCAGGGCCATTTATGTCAGCACAAGGACCCAGCAAAGAAGTAACACAGCTGCTTGATGGATGAGAATTTGCAGGTCTAGCAGGAATCTGCTGCCTGAGGACTGAATGAATCAGCAGCAGAGCAAACTGCTGGAACAAGAAGGGACTAATGAACAGGAGGCAAAAGATATGGCCACCCAAGACATGAAGGAAATCCAGGCTACTTCTGTACCTGTTTTTCTGCTGTTGTAGCTGCATCCACTGGACAGTTCAAGGCACAGATAATGCCTGGGGTGACTGATGCAGTCTCTGAGTGGCAGAGCATGTAGAGTCCAAAGAATTACGACATGATACTTAGAAAGCTATTTTATGTAGTGCTGTCTTCCCTACCACCATCCTGCTGCTCAAACCTCTTTTTGCCAAGTTCTGTAGTGTTGAATTAGGATTTCAGCTCCTAGGACTTTGAAAGGGTAGGCTAGCACTCCAGAATTTACTGTAGCTACAGATAATCTCATATTCATGATTTTTTGCCACTCTTGCCCAAGGATTGTATCATAGGGTGACAGTTCCCTCTTCAGTTTGTAAGATTCTTGAATATTTTAGAAATAAATGCATACAGTAGCTGCAGGGGTGCCATTGTTTGCATCCCCAGGACAGTTTTGGAAGCCTGAGAACTGTTTTATCTTTGTTACATCACTGATACTGATAGTACCTGGCTATACCACAGTGGTAATCCCCTTGCTAATGTTCATTGCTGTACTATTGATAGTTTCAGTCTGCCACTGCCAGTAATGAGTCAGTTCTGACTCTCTTGATGAAAGATTGTCCGTACGGTAGTTCTTTCTTAGGATTTGACTGTAGTCTTGTTTCCAAGGATCCAAACCTTGCATTTCCTTTTCCTACTGGAGATTCAGCCTTTCTGTAACACAGGTTGCTGGAGTTATGTAGGCATCACATATATTGAAGTTACTGCCCGTGACTCCTAATAACTTGTATAGATAGAACTGTACTGTCACGTCTTATTACTTTTCACTTGTTAGCAGCTTTAAGGATTAGAGGAGCTAATGATGGTGCTAAATAGGTTGTATATTTATGTGTACTGATCAACAGAGATTTCTAAATAAATCTGCTGTTTCTGTGAACTGAACTTTCCCTGTATGAGCTAGGAGGTTGACCCATGCCAACAGTTCCAAGCAGCGTGCTGCTTGCTTCTAATGCACAAAACCAAAGCATCAGTCTGGAAATCTCTGTGTGGGAGAGAGTAGTCCTAGCTGGTGTTACAAGACAAGCACACCTCTGCTTTCTGCTGCAGTGTAGGAACCTGCCAGCCAATGGTACCTATGTCAGGAAGAGGAGCTGGTGACCTCTGTATTGGCCATGCTATGAGGGGGGACATAGCCACCTCGGCAGGGCGCTGCACTTGTGCTTCTGTACCTGGCCAAGAGGCAAACCTTGGTGATGTCATCAGTGACAATTTAATAAATGCCCATTGTTTCCCCACAGCAGTGCTTTACTTATGTCTGTCATGTCACAGGACCAGGTCCTTCAGTCTGTGCCTTTTTCCCAGTCCCTTCTGGTTGTACAAAACTGAGTCATCTCACTTTGGCCTGATGGCAGAAGAGACCGGAAGAGTTTTCCCTTAGATTACCTCATGGTATTGAGGTTGGGAAGCCACCTTGAGACATGAGATGTCAGGAAGGATTCAGTTTCTCTCTTCAGATGAACTGGTGTGAGTGGGATTGAAGACTTCTGACCTCTTAGACACTTGCCTTAGCTGTTGTACTTGCACCCAAAACATTTGAGGCATTTGCAGATTTCTTTTTGTGTAAAGCCCTACAAAAAATTTACTCTGGAAATGCCTACCAAATCAGGTACCACAAGTGAGATAGGAGGGAGAAACACCAGATTTGAAAATTCTTCTATCAACCCAGGGCTCCAGGCAGCTGAACAGCATCAAGACTTTGCAGTTATTGCATGTGGCTGCCTGCAGAAACTTAGTGTGCTAACAAGGTTAGGTTCTGCATGGAGTTATTTAGCATCTTGCTGGCACCTGAAAGCAAGATTTCAGTCACTTATGATGGATTTCTCACCTGTTTTTAGATGTCCACAGAGTAAATGGCTGTGTCTGACGGCCAGTGCAGACTTGCTTTTGTATTCACTGTAAAGAAACGGGCACATTAGGGCATGGTTCACCTGACCTACTTTACACACCTATGTGAAGCTCATCATTATTTATCGTTTAAATCCTTGCATTTCCGCAAATGTATTGGTGTCTTTAAAATTACATGTGAATAATTGTACTCTTACAATAGTCATAATGGTTCAATTTGAAGGCTGTCAATAACATACTCATATTCTTCTGGTAGAGCAAAACCTCTCTATGTTGAAATAGTTTGTTATAATTCTGATTTTCTACAGAAATGACGCTGAGGCTGCTTGTGTTTGTTGGAAATTATGACCTGACTATGGATTTTGTCTTCTTTTGCTCCAGACAAACTCCGCAGAAGCATGCCTAACCTCGCTCGGATGCCAAGCACCCCCACCATTAGCAGTACTGCTGGCTTTGCTGGTTCTCCTGTCACTGTGAGGAATAGTCAGAGCTTTGACTCCAATTTGCATGGAGCCAGTAACGGGATTTCAAGGATGCAGTCGTGTAGTAAGTACTTGTGTTCTTTGGCTGAGCACAAGGGATTGATAAAGTGGTAGAATACACGTCCTGGTCACTGATCCTTTGTTCTATGGAAAATGAAAAGCAAACTGTTCTTTTGCACTAGCTTTCAATATACCTCAGGATTTTCAAAGTTCATGTTTTGGAAAGCAAATTCTGCCAAATTGTTATTGAAAGTTTCTTCATTTTTTTTTTCTTTTTCCATTTATCTTGTGCCAGCATTAAAACTGAAATAATAATAATAAATAGTAATATTGTAGAAACACCAAAAATGCAATTAATTCATATAAGCTCACATTTTTTAGTTTTAATACTACAATTGAAAACTGCTTTTCTTGGTAATTTATACAATGCTGGTTGTATAGTACACTCTGTAATACTATTTCAAAATACATGACCTCTCTCCTACTGTAGTTGAGCCACTTTCTTCTGAGGAACTGCAGTAAACAGAGGCTGTATTCTCAAGTATAATATACTTGTTGAGTGTTGAAAATTGCTCTGTAATTGCTTTAGTTTAGGTGACTTCTTGATGGGGAGATGAAGGGAGTATTGATGTAGTAGATGAATCATTAGTGTAGAATGTGAGCAAGATAGATCAAGATTGAAACTCATTTTATCTGGCACAGTGGTTGAGGTTCTCGAGTGGAAATAGGAGAAGTGGATTTCACTGGACACAGGCAGAAGCAAAGAGGAAAAAATAAATAATTTGAGAAGAAGGGATTTAACTTATGCTCTCCATTTCCTGTGAGATTTCAGAGGGAGAAGTTGGCAAAAACTTTTCCTTTGGGTGTTTCTTTCAAATTAGAGCAGAAGTTACAAATGTCTTCAAAACAATTAAATTGCTTCTTTGCTGGAAAATATTCTTGACTGATGGGTTATTTTGTTGTATTTTTTCTTGCTTGAATACGAGAATGGAAGTAGTTCAGGTTCCCACATGGATTTTCATAGTCGTGCATTGAGAGTTTATTTTTTATTTTAGAAATACATATTTTTTTGTGTCTTCATGGTCTTGTATGTGAGTGTATAAAATCCAATTTTTCTGAATTACATTTTTAAAAAACCCATTTATTTATAGTAAGTGGCTATACTGGGGTACTTTAGGAGCTATGATATGATTAGAATTCCATAACAATATATTGATAGTATAGTTTAATTGAATCACTCCCCTGCAATTTTTCCTGTGTCTTCAAATGGTTGAAAGATGACCTTTTTTTTCAAAGACTTGGAAAAGAATTAATCTAAATGTAGTGTCTTAATTTATATGCTTCAGGCTTTTGACAGTTTGCTTTTGGTACATGGACTCGGAAAGTGATGCCTGCCAAATGTACACCAGAGGGCAGGATTGGGTAGAAAAATCTAAATATAAAGCTTCTGGAGCTTATAGCATTGATTTAAAATGATAGTTCACATACCATCAGCTGTGGAATATGCTGTTACATTCAAGACCTTTTATAGCCTTTTTTTTTTGTTTTTCTGCATAAAACCTAAACTTCTGTGATGCTTCATAATGCTTTAATGCAATGTTGCTTGAACAAGATGTGGTTGTTGCCAGCCACCTCACAAAAATCAAAATCACCTAACAGTGACTAATTTATACCTTCTCCTGTTTAAAGCTCTAAGTGCGTAGGTGGATTGGCTAATTTAATCTCTTTGAGGACAGAAAGGAGGATGAATATGGACTGAGTTTTTTTTCAGGATGGGGGTGGAACAGGATATTTTAGTTCAGTGCAATGTTACTGGATACAGTATTGGATTCAAGAGGTTTTTTTCAGCAGTTTGTAATCAGCAAGTAAATTGTATAATGTTGTGTTTATCCTTATTCAGATCTATCTAGAAATTAGCATTACTGCCTGGTCTTTTTTGTTGTATACTGACCTTGTTGCTTCATTTTCTACCATTCTTCACAGTTCCATCACCAGGACAGCTTCAACACCGAGTTCACAGTGTGGGACATTTTCCAGTGTCTGTCAGACAGCCTCTCAAAGCTACTGCCTATGTAAGCCCAACTGTACAAGGGAGCAGTAATAGTAGCAGCATTCCAGTGTCCAGCAACTCGCAGCTGTATTCCAGCACTGGGATCCCAATGCCAAACAAGACTGCTGGTCAAGGCATTGTAGGGCGCAGTGCTCTTCCAAGACCATCACTGGCCGTCAATGGGAGTGGCATTCCCAGAAGCAAAATTGCACAGCCAGTTCGAAGGTGAGAGTTGAACAGGCCTTAATCTCTCTGTGAATGTCTCGGGCTTAAATTGTGGAATTTTTTTACCTCTTGAATATAGAACATATGCTTCTGTCTCCCAGTGCTGAGTCAACTGAATGGGTGAAGGTTGCTTGCAGAAATAGTGATGGAAAATGCATGCTGATGGCCCCTTGTAAACTCTAATAATGGATAATGTGCAATCACATGCAAAAAGGAATGGATTGTCACCTGTCAGTAAGAAATCCAAACAAACACAAACCTCATATAATTAACTGATGTGGCTTACCTTCTCCCAGACTTGTGCCTACTGCTGTTTCATTGTCACAGCATGAGCTAATCTTAGAGTTCTCACACAGAAAGAGCTGTGTCCCTGTTGTTGTAAATGGTAGTAGTCTGTAAAAATGCATGTTGTATCATTACAGCATTGTAAAGAAGGAAGTATCCTGGATAGTACAGTCTTGGGTTGAACCAGCATCTTTTCAATACCAGCTGGGAGATAACAGGCACACAGGGAATCCTGGAATATCACACAGTTGCAATAAGCTGTACTACTAAGCAAATGAAAATTTTTGCACTCAAAAAAATGAGAAAGAAATTCATCCTCATTAATTATTTTTAGGTCAAGCAATAAAATAGGCTTGATGAAAGAGATTGTGTTTTAATCACCTTATCATAGCTGGGAGTTAAATTCTTAGCTGCATGTTCTGTAATTAATAGGAATTAAGTCTTCTCAAGGAAAAACTTCTCTCAACTTGTGTTAGCTTCTCCAGCTTTTCCTTCGTATTGCAGACATCCCTCCTCTTGTGAGGGCCTGCTGTTTGACCACCACATTTTCTGTTGTATGAACTGTCACTGTTTAGCTGTCATCATTTTTATACTTTTCACTACATACTGGCTAGATCCAGAATAAGTTCAGTTGTTCACATTTTCTCTTTGGCTGAGTTACTTGGGGATTACTCTGATGTGACTGACAACAGATTTTGACCAACTGCAGTGAAACTTTGATAAAGAGTGGTCAGGTTTCTTCTTTGAGAAGACTGTACCATGAGATTTCTATTATAACCTTCTTTGCTCTCAGCTGGAAACTCTCTCAGTTAGACTTCTATATAGTTGAGGGTTTTCTTTCCTTTTTTCTTTTTCCTTTCCTCTACTTCATGTTCTTCTGCAGAGCTCTTAAATCTTTCATAGCAACATGTGAGGAAGCCTTTCTGGGTCATGAAGACCAGTCCCTTGCTATTTTGTAACTTTTCATACAACAGACAGTATTAAAGAAAAATGCTCTCTGAGTGGGAGAGTGAGACACTGTACTCTCAACACTGTTTTTATTAGAAGCTGATTCAAATCAGTAAAAAAGCTATTTATAGTCCAGGAAGTCTGAGCTCCCGTCTCCTTCCTTTGAAATGTGCCGTAGCAGCGTCCTGTGTTGCCATAGAGCCAAACCAGTGATCGTTGAAGATGGATGGTCTGTGCTGTGGCAATGAAGAGTTCATAGGCCTTGAAAAGCACAGGTAGACTGGAGCCCAGCCTACAGTTCTTTAACACCCTCGTTCAATTTTGTTGATCCATTTGGAAAAATACAAGTGGTTTCAGTTCATATAGACTTCTCTTGGAAGGAATTCAGTTGTCAGTTTTTTTCACAGTGGTATTTTCTAATGAATGGTTTTTCTGATTGTCAGTTTAAGAGTCTAGCTTCTTTCAAACTTAAATAGTGTTTGTAGTCATAACTTGATTAAAAATAGAACAAGTCTTTTGTTTTAATAAATCAGATGTTCAGGGAAAAGTGCACACTCAGAGCAAATCTGTCTTCCTACCTTTGGCCGGACTGTTAAGTAGCCAAGTTACTGGTATTTTAGATACTTAAAATGGGTTCTTAGACACATTGTATTGTGGTTCCATTAAGGAACTTCAGTATTTACTGCATAGAATAAAGCACTGGATGTTTTTTAATAATGTGTTATATACTATATACTATATTATATATTATAATGTAGTGCTTTTAGTAATTTGTAATATAGAATTATAATAACTGAGATAAACAACTTGGCTAAATATTAACTGGTTTTCTCCTTACCATCAGAGATTCAAGCAGTGTAAAGAAACTGTGATGGTGTAATCCATCTCTTCTTAGCCTTAGAAGACAGAGCCCCTTTTTTTTTTTTCTCCAGTTAAGTGGATCCACAACCCTCAGCCCTTTCCAATGCCAGTCTTGGGGCTTCTTACAGACCCCACCTTCCATTTCTCTGTGTTTTAACTTTATGCAGTGTGAAGGGCAGTGGGGGCAGCTGCCCTTAAGGCAAGGTGAGCAGGGAGCAGAGTGGGACAGCTGGGCTGCCCTGCAGTGCCCAGCCTAGAGCAGCGTTAATGGTGATCAGGGTCAGCCAGTGCTACCAGTTTCCAGGCAAGGCCACAGTGATGAGACAGGTTCCAGCTAAAGCCAGAAAGTCAGTCAGCAGCTCAGAGTCTGGATCATGCCAGATACCAGGCACAAGTGTGGCAGGAATGTCAGCATACCTGTGAAGCCAGGGCTTGCTTATTCTTGTTGCCTTGTCCTGGAGCCAGTTACTGCTATCCAGCTGGTGATGGAAAAATAGAAATGCACTACAGCCCCTCCAAAAACTCAGTTGTGTCAAACAGTGTGATGTAATACTGACAGCTTGTGCTTGTTTGAAATGGTTTTCATTGCTGGCATGGTTTTGTGTCATTACCCTGTAGCAGAGATTCACCTCTGGATACATAGCAGTATTCTTGTATTCCTACGGTTATTTTCAAGTTCGATTATTACTCTTTTTTTTTCCCCCTCTCTTCCTCTCTGATTTGGGGTTTTTTTTTTTTGAAGATTAGTAAACATACTTTCTTCTTTTTTCTCTGGAAACCAAAGCAGCAGTTGCAGAAAACAGCAGAGGCAGATTATGTTCTTAGTCTCAAGTAACTGGATTTATATCGAAGATAAATGATGCTACACTGAAGTGGAGCTACACAAAAGCAGCTTGGCTGAATCTAACTTCAGGCAACTACTTTTACCTAAGTGCAGTGTTTTGCTACTAAAAAAGCATGTGCAGCAGAGAGTTGAAGCTGCTCTGATGACTGACTTACCGACTGTCTGCCTTTTTACAGCAAAAAGCATTTGGAAGGGAGAGGAGGCATCAGTAACTTATAGCAAAAGCAGAGTACTGTGAAAGCAAGGCTTGAGGTCTGCTTTTGTATGAAATAGTTTCACAAAATTGAAACACATTTTTTTCAGCAAATTGGGATGTGACAAAATTACGGTTGTGACAAATTAGATACAAAGTGTGCTGTGTTACCAGTGAGTTGGCCTTTGGATCGAAGTCAGATGGTTGTTTTTCCTTTTTTTAGTTTTACTTGAAATAGTTGCCTCAGTAGTACCTGGAGGGTTTGAAAGATGGTCAGGAAGTGTTTTAGAAGTCCTTGTTGATGAGTGAGAGATGCAGCCCAGGTGTGAGGGTGGGACCCAGGGGATGGTGAGTTCCCTTCAGGAGCTGCAGTGCTGGAACTGGTGGTTCTGGAAACACATCATCACATATCTTGTGACAGATAAAAGAGGCTCTGGAACAGTGTTCTTCAGCCAATAAAATTCTTCGCTGCTTGCACAGTATTTTTATAAAACTGCTGAGTTTTCATGAGCTTGCTGAGCACAGTAGCTTTTTGAAAAGTGTTTCCCATTGGATCTCTGCTGCCCTTAGTGACAGAAATATGTTTTTACCATCTTCAGCCCTGAAAAATCAAAGCTTGGCATTTAGAGGCATCTCAGTCATGGTTAGTATTATTCACTCAATTCCTTCTTAGAAATCTTTCATGCTCTTCTCATTGGAAGTCGTCTTAATTTCACCATAGATCTTTATATGTGCATTAATATGTAGCCAGAAATATACCAGAGGGATACCTCTAAGCAAGCCCCAAAGCCATTTTCACTGCAGAAGTAAATGATGTCTTTTACCTTGATGTTTCACAGGAAATACAACCTCATTTTCCTTTTTTCCCTTCTGTCATTTGGTAAATACAGTTTTCTTCAGCCTCCAAAGGCACTGTCATCACTGAGCACGATACGGGACGGGAACTGGAGAGACGGCTGCTATTGATGAAGGATGCCCCTCAGCAGTGGAAAACACGTAATGCGGATTTCATTACCCAGCTGGCTGGGTAACAATTACTTGGAAAAGGAGGGTCATACAGTATTATTTTCCCCAGGATCTTAATCTGTAACCATCTACAATGCCATGTCATTTTTAAAAAATGAACATCTTATCAAATACTAGATATTGCACTTAATCAGTTACCTGAACAGCTGCATTGTTACCAGACTAACAATGGCAGTGCTGGCATTTGGAACTGAAGAAAGTATTACATGTGTGCAAAATACAAGAATATTTCCTTGGAATGGACTGGGAGGTTTTGCTTTTGGGCAGCTTTGCCATACTGAAGTTCTGAGATAATTTATTCAGTATAAAGGCATCACACGTTTTATTTTGAATTTTGGAGTACTTATGTATGTGCTTAAATTTTTTTCTAGTGTTTTCAGTACATTTTATTTTGTATACTTATGTTCATGTAAACTTGCCTGAACTTTGAACTACAGAGAGATAATTTAACTTTTTCTGTGCCATAAATGATATTTTTGGGGTAATGTACTTTTTTAGCGCTAGGAACATATCTTAAAAATCTTACCATTGGCAATACAAAGCAGTATATTTATGTTGCAGAAGCACAAAAAAAAAAAGGTAGCATTCACTGGAAATTGCCATCCAGCTGGGTCAGCATGGTTTTGTTGGTCTGTCACCATTTGTTGAATTGTTAATTTATTGTCATAGTGTTTTGTATTTAAAATGGCAGCATAAATCACATTGCACTTACAAAGGTACAGTGATCTCTAAAACTACTGTTGATTTTCAGTACTTTATTACAAAGAATAAAATTGTAATGTTTTATTAACAGTTGCTTATGGAAAATGAGTTTTAATGCGAATAAATCTTTTTGATAGATCTTTTACAAAACCCAATTGCACTAATCAATGCTTTCTTATAATGGCATATGACTTAATATTTGATTACAACTGTGTATACTGCTGTTTTGGAATGTTTCAGGAAATAAAGAATCTATTTCAGCAATAATGCTCTTCTTCAGTGTGCAATGTAAACATTGTGAGAATTTAGCTACTCACATCTGCTTAGCTCCTGAAGTTTTTGCTTAGCTTCTATAAAGATTATGCTGGATTTTTGCAAATAGTAACTGAGTTACCTGAAATACTATTTTTTAAATTGTGTTAGGAAGCCATGGTATGCCTAGAAGACAATTTTTTTTCAAATCAATCCTACTATGATCTTAAGAGACTTTTTCAATTTACTGTTTAGAGCGTGCAAGTGCAAATACGACTTGTAATGGGAAACAGAGATTGTGTACCTTTTACTGGGCTATGAATTTGCTTTCAGTTTTGCTCTGCAGTTGCTTGAGGACCAGCTTTTCTGAAAAGGGCAAGCTAAAATAAAAAGCAGAGGGGAAGTATTTAGTGGTGAGTAAAACTTTCATTATGCTGAGAAGTGATGTATATTAGTGCAGTAGGATCTCTGCACAATATAGCATTGTTTAACAGAAATAAACAGTTAATTTTTCACATGGAAGTTCTTTTAATACAGTTACATTCTTTTTTTTTTCTTTTCCAAAAGAACAGAAGAAGATATCAAGAATAATCAAAAAAAGAAATCATCTCTGCACAGGTAAGTAATTAAGCAGGAGTATGCCAAACTCACATTGTTTGTTAGAAGCTTTAATTAATTGGAAGAAATGGCTTTTAGTTAAAGCAGTCATTCATTTGTGGACAGTCTGTGATTGTAGTGGGGTTCAGAGGCAGCTTGGGGGTGCTTTGCCTTTTGCCTGTGAGAAGTTCTGCAGCTCTCCTGGCTTCTGGTTGTAGGGATCCAGCATGATCTTCATAAAAGATGGATGAGGGCCCATGGCAGTGATTAGTTTCTCACTGATGACAGCTGTGGTCTGAACTGTCTCTTCAATTTGTTCCCTAGTGCCAGGATTTTATCACTGTTCCTACATTATCTGGGGCACCACAGCATTACATTATTTTCAATTTTTGAAATAGGTTGCAGCTGTTGGATTTAATACTGAGTTGTACACACGAGGGCAGTATATACTTTGAAAATACTTTCTTTTTGGTAGCTCGTCTGTTTTCCAGGCTATGAATATTACGAGTTCTTTGAGAAGATCCAGTTCTTTTTCCCTTTTTAATTACCCTATTCCCTTATAATACATAATGTCAGGATTTGGTAACCTTACATCTTTTCTGTTGTGTTTTTGTCAAGTATCTGTCACATTGGATGCCATCAAGCTCTAGGAGGAAGCCCACGGTGTGAGCAGCTGGATCTAAGAACAGAATCAACCCTGGGCTGTGGTACTGCTGCTGTTTGCCTGTAGCTGGTGGAGCTGGCTGTCTCCCCTCAAATTTGCACCAGTGAACCAGGGTACTACTGCATGATGTCACAGACTTCATCACAAGTCTCAGTGGGAGCAAACTGGGTGGAATATGCAGCACAAAGTCACTTCTGTTAGGCTCAGTTTTGCAAGAGGCGGAATCTCCTCCAGAGATAGAAAACAGTTATCTTTGAAAATAAAAGATTCAAACTTTTCGCAAGGAAAAATTAATTTCTAAGTGTAAGAGAGTTTTTAAGAACCCTCTTCTTTCTCTTTGGTTCTTTTGGTCCCTGAATGCAAATTTTCCTGCTTCCTTGCTGCATCCCAAAAGTGACATATCTCCTTCAGTCCAAATTAATCTTGGGCTCATCTCTTGAGCTACTGGGTGATTCGTGACCTTTTTCTCAAAAGTCTTTTCTCCTCTCTCACTTGGGATAAAACCTCTATGTTTCCAGTCTTTGAACCCCATAATCTGGGGCACTGTCTTTGATTTTTCCACAAGTTAATATTCTAGTTAAATCTAAGTCCTGCACTGAAGATACACGTTTCTTTTTTTCACCCCTACATTTATCTATTTCCTCCTCACCTGAAGTAAACTTCGGCCTTATAGTGGCTTCAGTATGTGAAATCTGTCCAAAGTAGAACTGCTAAGATGATTTTTCTTTGTTCTTTGACAGTGTCACTGCTTTGACCACTTCCATGTGTATTGCTGATTTTCCTCTTTCTATTGAAAAGAATTGTTGTGATCCAGTTATACTCTTCTACAAAGCCATGGACTCTATCCCATCCACACTATTAGTTTCTCACTGAGTGTTGAATTTATCAAAGTCCATGATACCAGCCTGCATTGTGTGTGCTGTAGGCAAAGCACCTGCTAGCTAGCTCCTGTGTTGTACCTCCCTGTAGGGGATTGCCAAGTATCTCCATTTTTTAATTCACTGTCAAATCCTTCCTAAAAGATTTTTTTCTTTGCCACTGTACCAAGTCAAAACAAGACAACAGGTAAATTACCAGTGTTGTCATCTTCTGCTTTTAAGCCCATCATTTTAAATTTGATTGGTGATTATTGCTATACCTAAACTGCAAATTATTGGAGCCATAAACTGCTATCTTTTTCCTTTGGGTTTTTGAGGCATAAAGCCCAGTAGTATTTCAGACCCACCATTACAATGCCTGTAATGCACATACTAAAAATCAGCATTTTCATACAGAAAACGCTATTTAAATATCCACTGTGAATGATGGGTGAAGTTGCATAATTAAAAAGATTGTGGGTAGTAGCACAATCACTCTTGAAAGCAGATTTGTGGTGCTTTATCTTCAGGCATGATTTACTAACTTGAAATTCTGGTTAAAAAAGAAAAAGTGACTAAGCCCAGGTGACTTTCCCTGCCACTCTTGAGGTGAAAAGGGTATGTTGTACTGAGTCTGATTTAATTTTCTTTCTCCTATTTGACTAGCCCATGTGCTCAGCCATCTTTCCCCCTCATCAGTATTTCTGCCTCTTGCCCTCCCCAAATTCAAACCTTTATTTTAATCTCTCTCAGTGATTGCACATGCACATTGCACATCTCTCTTGTGGCTTCTTGACCATCCACCTGCAGATTCCCACCCTGCTGTTCTGCTCCTCACTCTCCAGCCTGGGGAGGTCCTCAGTGTATCTTCTGTCTCCATCAGCAGGACTTTCTGCTCTTACCTGCTAAGGTAAGCAGTTGTGCTTAATCTGAATTTATGTCTGTGGGTAGGGAGTCATACCTCTTGCACTTGGATGTGACCAGGCTGCCTGGTTCTTGCAAGGGGAGTTCAGGGGATTATATTTGACCTAAAGAGGTCAAAGAGATGATATTTCTACATGTGCAGTTGAACAATACTTTTATATAATCTCATGGAAGGAAGGAAGGGAGTGATTAGATAAATTTATTCTTGAAACTGCATTCCTTTTAAATAAGCCAGTTTATATAAGCCATAATTATTACATGACCAAAGGATTATTAATCCCTTACCCATAAACAAACAAGAATTCTTTGGTACTCAGATGTTGATTTTGGGCATTATTATGGAATGGTTTTGGTTGGAAGGAACCTTAAAGATAATCTAGTTCCAACACCTTCCACTAGGCCAGGTATCTCCAAGCCCTGTCCAACCTGGCCTAAAACAGGGATGGGGCATTCACAGTTTCTCTGGGCAAGTGTTCCCATTCCTCACCACCCTCAGTAAAGAATTTCTTCCTATCATCTAATATAAACCTACCCTCTTTCAGTTTGAAGCCATCCTCCCTTGTCCTATCCCTATATGCTCTGGTAAACAGTCTCCAGCTTTCTTGTAGGCTCTCTTCAGGTACTCGAAGGCCACAATTAAGTTACCCCAAAGCCTTCTCTTCTGCAATGTGAACAACCCTAATTTTCTCAGCCTTTTCTTGTGGAAGAGGTGCCTCTAATCATGCTGATGCCACTCCCCTGGACTCATTCCAGCAGGTCCATGTCCTTCCTGTGCTGGGACCCCAGAGCTGATGCAGCCCTGCAGGTGGGGTCTCACAGACAGAGCAGAGGGGCAGAATCCCCTCCCTGCCCTGCTGCCCACGCTGCTTTGGATGCAGCCCAGGACACATGTGGCTTTCTGTTATTTGGCCAAAGGTTGGAGTCAGTCATCTTGGAGGACTTTTCCAACCTTAATGATTCTATGATTGCATGATTCTTGCTTAATTCTTTAAAGAAGTAAACACATTTCTTAATTCATGCATTAGCTTGAGCAGGTTATGGAATAAAAGCAGGCACAGATACATATAAAAGCAACTGATAGTCTTGTTTTTCACTGGTTCATGTGAACAATGGATAGATGTCTAGATTTGGCTGTCTGAACCATGGTAAGAAGTTTGGACAACGAGTGCTGGTTGAACTTTAAACATTTGCAGAAGAATACTTGAAAAGTGAATCTATCTTGACTTTTTAAAGTAGAGAAAAGTTCAGTATCCAATACAGTCAAAAAGGCTGCACATTTCCCAGATGCAGATGTCAAAATTGTATGAAACTACAGTTAGACAATAGATAATGTTCACAGACTATTAAGTGACTTATACTTGGAAGAAAATGTTACAAATACACAAGATGAAGGCAACTCCGTTATGTATTCACTGCTTCTCTACCCTTTACTCTTTAAAGAGGGATTGAACATCCGAAAGAGACTGGGCTGTGCAAATCGTTCTTGTGGCTTGGCAGAGAAAAAGCCTTGTGGCTCTGAAGCATGGAGTAGACTTGGCTATATAGTGTGCATCAGCAGGGCAGATCCATTGCTCTGCAGCAGCCTTGTTTCCCAAAAGCACAGATGCCTGCTGCATACCTGGCACCCAGATGCAGCCTTGGCTGTCCC